TAAGTAAATTTTTTTCACTAAAAATAGCACTGTAGCACTGTCCTCCCGTTGGTCATCGAGTTGCTCGAGGGGGCACCAGTAACATCTCCACTGTGAGACTTGTTACTGTTTTTGGCATATCGAATACATCACGAGGAGCTTGCCAGGCTTTGCCGTGTGGGTGGGATACTCTCGGTAGCTTGCCGGGCTCTCCAAGAGGGACAGAGGAATAAAAATAATTTACGGGCTGGAGCAATAGCACAGCGGGTAGGGCGTTCGCCTTACAAGCGGCCAACATGGCCGACCCGAGTTCGATTCCTCCGCCCCTCTCGGAGAGCCCGGCAAGCTACCGAGAGTATTGGATATGCCAGACACAGTAACCACAAAGTCTCCAATGGAGACGTTACTGGGCCCGCTCGAGCAAATCGACGATCAACGGGAGGGCCTTTACCTTTACCTTTACCTTCTATATATCTAAATATTATAGAAAGTATCAATCCCACTTCTTCCAGTTCTCATTTATAGGCTCTTGCTGTCTTATTTATGTTCCATCTGGTTGATCTATCCAACCAAGAGGCAAGGTGGTACAAAGGCTCCTACTACGATCTTGTCATTCTGTCAATATACCTCCTATGCTCAATAAACAAAGGTGTGACAAATAACAAATGGGATGCTGGGAATCAAACATTTGGATCTTGCATTTAAGGTCATTGTTTCTATTTTCATCTTCATCCATTCTGCCGCTGAAACTTGCTACTGTACCCTTTAGCTCCTTTATTTTTCCCAAATGAGTTCTTTCATTTTTTCCCATCATACTCTCTTCCAGCTTGTTGATTCTTTCCTCACAGAGTTTCACAATCATTTAACTTTGAGAGGAGTATAGTTCTACAGCCTTTGCGTAGTCTGAAAAGATCTGATAGAGCTGATGATCTTCCTGGAATTTTGTCACCATTCACAAAATGTAACTGAATTCCTTTATTTTTTTTTCATTGTTCCTGGCACTCTACAGGAGTGAAGGATGGAGGAGCAGCCCCAAACTACTGTCCCATGACTTTCTATGTCACTCCGGTGGGGTGCTGGCCCACTGAGTTCATGGGGACCTCTGCAGTCCCAGTGCTTTCCAGGGCTAGGGGGTGTGAGGGTTGAACAGTGTGGAGTCCTGCAGAGTCAACGTGACATCACCAGGGTGGTGGCATGGCCTACTGGTGTGTTCATGCTGGCGGGTGCTTCTGCTTCTGCACTATTAATATCAAAATCATTCACCAATATTCCAAACTGGTCTCTGTTGCCACATATTTTTTAATGACAATTTGGAAGCACTAATGCTCAATTGACATTGATCATCTTAATTCACAATTTTCAAATGAAAATGTTTCATACTAAAAAGCACATTTGAATTAGTGCCTGCGGTCAATGCATCACGAGAGACAATCTGAAAAGCAGCTCTACGTATAGACTGGATTGGAGAAACATCATACAAGTATGCAAATTCAATATTCTCGTGGCTGACAAGTTTCTTACTAAACTGTTAACATGTTTATTTGCCCTACAATAGCTGGATTTTTGTCATGAATACACATTAAACCCTGCAGTTATTAGCTGTGATGACTAGGTGACAGTGAGGACACTACTCGAGAATTTGCATTTGACAGATCATTAACATACAGTCACAGTTCCTTTTTTTCTCTTCACTTAAACAGGAATCATGCAGTAGAAAATGAACTGGAGCTATTAGAGATTATTCAGGATTAATAGCACACATCCTTTTCGCTGGCGGGTTAGAACAATACACAATGTGGCAGAGTTAAACAGAGGCATCAATTATACTCTCAAACCTGTTAATATTTTTGACAATATTTAAATAGCACATCCCTTCAGGGCATGGCTCTTTTGCCCTCTCAGTTACACACCTGACAAGTGGTTAATTTGCCAAAGGGAAACACTTTGATTTCTAAGGGCACTCTTAATACTGAAGAAGCAAACTGGAAAGAATTGAACATTATTGAAAAAAGTAATTAGAAGAATCACAGGAGAAAAAAATTGGAGACTTAATTCAACATGGCATATGAACATCTGTCATTAATGAAACTCTAAGTTCATATACACCAGTACGATGAATAAACCTCAGGCTATTCCATTCACTGTCTGAAAGATTTCACTAGACTGTCTAAAAGACAAGTAGATTAAAAAGGTGGAGGAATATCAAAGGGATGAAATTTTCCAGGAATACCAAAACAGATGGAAACAGTAACTTAAACCTGTCATGCATAAAAAATTATATATGTAAAAAAATAATTTTGTTTTAAGATAATAAAATGCTAATAATTAATTAAACTTGTATTGATACCCATTTTAAAACAAAACAAATTTCAGTTCTTAGGTAATTAAATATTGAATTATGAATATTAAGAAATTAGAAGTTGGAAGATTGCATAGAAAGTTTGAGTGTAAGATAAATTTAGAATATTTCTATCTAATCCTTACAAAAACCTGAATCTGAATTAGAAAATAAGGGAGACTAAAGTTAGAAAGACTTAAAATCTGAGCCAGTAACAATGTCTTTAACAGAAATTAAATTCTTAATGTTATACATGCAAATGTTGATTTATAATAACGAATACCTAAAACATGATATAATGCTATGCTGCTTCAAGTTTTAAACTCTGAAGTGAGGCAGAGGAATATCTGACAAAGGAGAATGAAGTGACTTCAGATGATGAAAGTAAAAATTAGAATGCCATGCCTTAAGCCACAAAATACAAGCTAGAAGGGGCAAAGAAGTTGAAAGATTGCATAGAAACCCCTTAAGTTTCCAGAAGGAGCCAGTCCTGAAGATACATGTAGTTTTTAAGCCTCTCTGTCTTATTTCAGATATCTGACCTTTGAAACTTTAAAATGATAAATCTGTATTTTTATAAAAATATAAATAAATAAAAGCAGAGTGGGAGAACTATAATAGCTTGGTGGTGGAGCACATGCCTTGAATGCATGTGGCTTTAGGTTTGATTCATTTGTTTGCATCACAAATGAATAAACAGACTAATTCACACTCTTCCCATCCCCAGCACCTATTAAAAAGAAGCTCAGCAGCTAATAACCAAGTGTCAGTCTTTATCATTGTTTGGGAAAAATAAGATGCCAGGCAGGCTGCAGTTCTCAAAAAAAAAAAAAAAAGGAGGAAAGGCCAAAGGAAGCCAAGAGTATTAAGTGTGAGGCCTACTCATACAAACAAGTCCTTTAACCTCTATATGGTTGTCATAAGAAAAATATTGAGTTATATGGGTTTGGTTCCTTTCACATCAACTTTTTTTTCTCCAATTGAAGATGCAGCTAAAGAAATTATAAAATTCTATAATATACACCACGGAATTCACAAATCTCACAACTAACTTCGTCTTACTCTGGCCATTATCAATAATATTACACTAAACTTAAGTTTCAGATAACAAGGCTCAACAATACTATACTCAATCAAATTCTAAAAATAGTTCAGCTAATCACATGGGACACTTAGAGTTTAAACTCCATATTCAATTTCTCTTTGAAAATGGTGAAACATTTTCCATGAATAGATTTATGTATCCTTTCTGCAGACAACATAAGTACAAATCACTATTTCAAACACAACATACTAGCTAAAAGGAAAATTGTTGATAATTGTCTCACACGACTAGTAGATCTTCCTAACATACTTGCTAATTTTCTATTTGTCTCAAAAATTTCCTCTCATTCTAAGATATTTTCACATAATGCAATAAGTGGAGAAGACATCTGTTAAAACTTCACACTGTCTGAAAAAACCATATAATTTTGTACATAAGTATGATTAGATTCAAACCACTGGTTTCTCCAAAAGATAAGCCCTTCTGAAAGTAAGTATCTAAATGCAATTGTCTTAATAACTTGCAAAGGGAACACAACTACATATTTTTAAGCTCCTGCAGTAAAAATTCACTACAGATAAATATTTTTAAAGAGTATTCTTGATTTGTTTATTGATTACTTGATTATATAGGTTAAAGACTTACATGGCATTACATTAATTCTTTCTATATTATTCTTCTATCTCATTTGGCACTTTTAGTTTCACTTGGAGCTATTCTTTCACTGAATTATGAAACTAGTCTTCAAGTTTCATTTTTAACCTCTGAAGGCAGTTTATTTGCTAGAATGTCATCCATAACCATAAAATTAATGCTAAAAATATTAGAATGAGAATTAATTTGGACTAATGCATAATTGACTTCAAACCTTGTGAGAATAATAATCATTTTTAAAATGTTTTTTTTAAACCTGAGAAATGGTGAGTAAATTAAGTAAGTTCAAAGAACATCTGACTTCAGTTTTTATTCTGTCATTGTGATATGCTTCAATTTTAATATAAATGCTAGGACTCTTTAATGCTCACAATTTTTACAGGGAAAAAAAACCCACAGTGTTACATTTAGAAGTTCTAATGTTTATCACCATCTGATGCTGTCATGGAAGCAATTGCTACTTACACTCTCTTAAGAAGTGAGAATTGCAATTCCTCTAACTGATGACAATGTAATTATTCCTTCTACTGTCAAAATAGAGGTGATTTCCCTTCCTCACACACACGATTACACATGCAAATCCAGGCTTATCTAAAATCTTGTAAGAGTATTGAAAATCTGAATCTGAATGAGCAAGACCACACGAACAATGAGCCTTCGTGATGATAGAACCCAAAACTATAGCCATCTACCCTAAACATATTTTTATCATCCCCTCTCCTGTAGGAGCTCATTCTTCAGCAGCCACACAGCTTTCAACACAATGTCATATCATCTGCAACATACAGCAACAACCATTACAAAAATAACTGGTGAGGGGAAGCCACAGTGAATCTGAATGTCTCCTTTGGAGGTTTAAATTACTTCATTAACTATTCATTAACAGTTACAAAAATCAGCCTTTCCGAAATATATGAGCCTTTTGGCACATCTAAGCCCTGCCATGAACATCTAGAGTAGGTGAAAGATGCTCGGATGGTCTACCTGGTCTTTGAGCTGTTGTACAGAAGTCTGAAGGTTCAGAATCTGACTGAAGAGAGGGCTCTGCAAGACTGACTTGAGGAGGTTCAGTTTATCTTCATTTGCTACATCTCCACGTTCTCGAAGTTTGGCTTGTAAGCGCTCTGCTGCCTGTAGAGCCCGATTCTTGTCTACACCAAAAAGGAGCATTAGTCAATAAGAAGGTTCAAATCAAAAGACATACATCAATCCATGACTTTAAAAATACTAAAACTACTCCTTTTTTAGAACAGAAAATTGACTGGAGTTAGATGGATGGTCTGTAAATGTGACTATAAATATATTGTTTAAACCTTGAGATCTAGTAAGAAAATCAGACAATTTGAAAACAAAGAACTGGTTATAGCATATGCCGTGTGCAGAAAGTTTTTGTGAAGTACAGAAGTGAATACAGATGGATACCTGAAGTACAATATCAATTACTTAAACTTCTCTGTTATATTGTTATATTTACTGAAAAACAAACACTGTGATCTGGCAGTGCTGATTTTTCAATGTTAAAATAAGTTATTTGTATATAAGTTCTTAAGATTACTCACTAATATGTAGATATAAATAACTGGTAAGTAATATATCGAGCAAATTGAAAATTTAATAGAATAAGGAATAATGCATATTATGCATGAGAATTTAGAGTATATTAGAATAATGCATATTCACTTAAAAACTGCTTTTTATGGGCTGGAGAAATAGTAAAGGGTTAGGGCACCTGCTTTGCACACAACCAACCTGGGTTCAATTCCTGACATCACATACAGCCCCCCTCCGCCGAGCACTGCCAGGAATGATCCCTGAGCCCATAGATGGGAGTAAACCCCTAAGCACAGCCAGTAATGACCTCACGCCAAAAAAAAGGAAAAAACCTAGCTTAATCTCTACAGTTTAATACTCTAAATGTCTTTCCTCAATGTTAAGTAGTACATTTGCATATTTATCAAATCAATACAATTTATTTATTGATCACCTTATATATTTGTAGCACTGTAGCACTGTTCCTTATGTATTTATGAATCTTAAATGTGAATGCTCTGAATAGTACATCCCAATACAAAGCAGCATCTTATATGTATGCTGCCATCATTAAGTGTGTACCGCAAATAATATTTTAAAGCATTTCCCTCAAACAGCCAAATTGAGATGAGGTGAAATCAAGTTGTTTGTTTGTTTGTTTGTTTGTTTGTTTAAAACAAAAAGTATACATTTAACTATATCACTAGTACTGGGGGTGTAGGTCAGCGCTAGAGCACTTGCTTTTTATGTGCAGACCCCTTTGCTTTCTGCTTTCTTATGAAGAACTTCTCTGGCAGACTAGTAGTTTGTATGATGTGTGATTTTAGTACAAAATTGGTGATAGAAGAAATAACATGCATGTGTTTTCATTACCAGTAAAGGAGTAGGAACAAAAGCTAGAGTAATGAGTCTCAAGGTCAGGAAACAGTTCCTTTTGCTTCCCCTGACACTCCCTCTAAATCGACTCCTGAAAATTTTCAGCTGCCATGGCAGCAGGAGAGATCATCAGGGCAGCAGAATAGGAGAGGGAAGGGGTATAAGATGAGATACAATAAGGGACTGACTATACCGGAATTGAACTACCTGAAAATAACGACATCAGCTAGTTTCTCTAAAACAAAGAGCACAGCAAAGAAAAATCAGTGCCTGAGCATGGAAAATGTGGTTGTTTGGACCTAAACAGCATCGTGCAAAAATAAAGCTAGATTTAATCATTTCAAGTATCTGTGGGGTTAAGTGCAACTGCTATCTTATCAACTTAAAAGCAATGCTCAGTAGTAATTTACCTAGTACAAATAAAGTAAGAAACACAGGCAACAGACTTCTTTTAGCAATAAAAACACTGTTAAGTTTTTGAGTTCCAAAATTAATCATTTAAAAATTTTAGTCAATAAACAAGACTTGTACTTACAATAGTCTTTATTAAAACCAATTAATGGTAGAATATATCACATACTTCTAACTTGTGCTCATAAATTATGAGATTTTTCTCTTACATAACATTTCAAATGAAAATTTCCAAATGCAGAAAAACATTACCCTAGTAACAAGAACTTGACAAGAACTTTTCATAGGTAACTACATTTAAGTTGCTTTAAAAAAAAATTGGAGCAGTGTTCATGGCTTACCTCTGGCTCTGTGCTCAGTGATTACTCCTGGCAGGGCTCAGGATGCTCTATGCAGTGCCCAGGATCAAACCAGGACTGGCCGTATGCAATGCTAGTGCCTTGCCTGCTTTACTATCTTTTGGACCCAAAATGGTAACTACAGACAGAATCATTCTCTGTATAACTTACCATATTTCAAAGATACAAATGGAAAAGAAAACAAACTCCATGTGTTTTAAAATGTTTATTGATTTCGGGGGTATGGTGCCGCCAGCCGGTCAATCTGCACCTGAGAGGTGACTGCATCAATAGCCTGATGGCGCCTTCAGACTTCCAGATGCCCCCAAATTGCTGCTGTGCCTTTGGCCAGACCCCAACAAGTTGGGCAAAGTTTACCAAGAAAGTAAACGGCCAAAAGTTAGGTATGTGGGAGACACACACAAAAACCACATCCAGCTCAGCTATATAATTGGAGGCATGGCCTCTCTGGTTCCTGATGGAACTGCTTAATGGCCATGATTTCAGAGACTCAGAACAAATCTCAGAACCCAGCGGCTTTTGGCAGAAACGTGTCCATCCCTGCAGTAGGTTACCAGCAATGGACCACCCCAGATTGGAATAGATTTCATGCCTTGGCCTGTTCACCCTGGCAGCCCGGTGGACACCATCCTCAGGAGGCTACTGGACAGTCAGGTTTGGGCCCGCAGTAATGAGACATATGGGGCCTCACAGGATGGGGGTGGAGCCTGCCCTTTACTTCCCATCCCAAGGAGACCCTGAGTTGCTACCCACCAACGGCCTCTCTGGCTCCTGATCAAGCTGCTTAACGACCATGATCCCAGAGACTCAGAAACAAATCTTAAAGAACCCAGTGGCTTTTGGTAGAAATGTGTCTGGACCCTGCAGACACAGGTTACTGTTGCCGGACCACCCCAGGGGGGAAAGGGCACTGTCCCTCACCTGCTCGCTCTTGGCAGTTCGGTGGCTGCCATCCTCCAGAGGCTACTGGACAGTCAGGTTTGGGCCCGTAGCAACGAGACACACAGGGTCTCATGGGATGAGGGTGGAGCTGGCCCTTCCCTCCCCGTCCCAACAAGACCCCGAGTCACCACCCACGAACAACCTCTCTGGCTCCTTATCAAGCAGCTTAATGGCCATGATCCCAGAGACTCAAGAACAAATCTCGGAACCCAGCAGGTTTTGGCAAGAAATCCCTCCAGATTTAATTGTTAAAATTTCGGAATTTCAAAACTGCACGGCCACTATTGCAGCTGCACAACCAGCAATAGAAAACAAATTGTCTACTATTGCCTTTTCGGCAGATCTAAGTGTTGGTGTGAAATCCCAAGTAATATTGGTGAGTCTGTTGTCAAAATATTGAATGTAATCAAAGTAGAGAGAAAGAATAATTTGGAAATCATTTGTCCCACAGGTAGGGGGAGGGTGTGGGATGGGTATCTACTGGGGGGTTTGGTGGTGGAGAATGGGCACTGGTGAAGATACGAGTGTTTCATTGTATGACCAAGACCAAGCTTTGTAACTGCTCTCACGGTGATTCAATAAATAAAATTATAAAAAATGAGAAAAAAAATTAAGGTGGAGTTCATGCACAATTCAATCAGCCTAATTAGTGGCTGAATAAATAGCAGTACCCCTACATAAAAAAAATATTTATTTCACAGGGTGGCCTTGTCAGCATATATCGGGAATGCTGGAGATCACACCCAGTTATATCAGGGCAACAATGCTGCAAGACACATGGTTCAGTGCTAGGGCCCAGCAACGCAGTACCGCTCAGTCTCAGGCACTGCTACTGAAGACACCAGTGCTACCCGGGCAGTGCTTGGGGACAAGGAGGGCTCCCCAGGCAGTGTTCAAGAACCTCCAAGGCTACCCTCAGGAGAGCCATGCAATGCCAGGGATCAAATCAAGATTCCATATGCACACAAAGCATGTACCCCTGAAACCTATGCAACGTCCCCAACTCATTTAGTTTCTCATACAAGTAACCAGGAAAGGCAGGTCTTACCTATAGTTTCAAACATTTTTTTTTCAAAGTTCAGTGTTGTTCTCTAGAATGATTATGAACAGCAACTATATGGAAGTCTGGAGAGAAACAAAATTGAATGGAATAGTTAGGTTTTAAGAAGACTTTAACACCTATTACTACGTTAATTCCTTTGATCCCTGAAAACAATCCTGGCTAATCAAATTGAAGATAATTTTCTTTATAGATCAAAAGGCAATTGCTTTAAAATATATTATAAATCATCTTATATCTGCAGATGTGTGCATGGTAAGATAAAAGATGGAATCTACTTTAAATGAGGTGGCAGAAAATATGTGCAAAGTATTTCTTTAAGTAGTTAATGCAGATCACTCTAACTTGAACTGATTCCAAGATTCTAGTTAGAGTAAGGAGATTAGTTAACTCTTTATGAGATATTCTGTGTGTAAACAAAAATAAAAAGTATAATATGTAAGATCAGAGCTATCGTACAGTGGATAGGACGCTTGCCTAGCACACAGCTGACTCATATGGTTCCCTGAGTCCTGCCAGAAATGAACCCTGAGAACAGAACCAGAATTAAGCGTTGAGTCCCACTGGGTCTGATGAGAAAAAAAAAGTGTAACATGTGACCCTGTCTTTTACATGCGAACATCCTTTTTTTTTTCATGCAAATATGAAAAAAAACTGGCTTTATAAAACACACAAAATAATTAGAAAATGAATGTGACACTTCACATGGTATGTGGATCACTAAAAGATAATACATTATCACAGACCCCCAATAAAAGAAATAAACATAGTCTGAAATGGAAGATTTTTCAAAGGATTTCAAAATAAGTTCCTATAGTGTTACCTTCTTTCCAATTCATAAAACCTCTCAAATTCTTCAACAGATATCATCTTTCTCTCAAAATTATCTAGAGCCTTCTCAACTGCTGACTACGCAGAGCGCCCAGAAAGAGCACAGTGGTGAAGCAGCTGTTTTGTAGGTGTAAGGCCACCGGTTCAATTCCCAGCACCACTCCACATGATAAATGTAACTCTGCTCTTTGTCATTTGTGATTCCTGGTGTTAAAACCAACTGAGTAGCTTCAGATACACTGTAATCAAGTAAGAGAGCACTGTAACTCTAAAATCTTGAGTGCTCTAGGGTAGCCCAAGTCAACACATCCTTAATCTTTGCTGTCACCAAATTTGCCACAAATGTTTCCATAGTGACTAGGCTCCTCCAAAATTTATTTGGCCTATCACCCTATTTTTCTGCTTTGTTTTAGGGCCACTACTGGCAGTGCTCAGGGCTTATTCCTGGCTCCGTGCTCAGAGATCACTTCTGGAGGGGCTCAGGATACCAATCTGGGGATCAATCCCAGATTGTCTGCATACAAGGCAAGTGTCCTTACCCACTGTACTGTCTCTCCAGCCCATACCACCAAATTTCAGGGGGGAAAATTACTCAGCAATCTGCTCCCCCAACCCTGCCCTACTTCAAAATACTCCCGCTTTAAACAAACAATATGAATAACACCCAATTACACTGGAGGCTACTACTGCCCCCTCCCCATCATTTTTTTTTAAGTAAAACAGATTTTATTTGGAGGGTTTTTGGAGGGAAGAAGGAAAAGTGGGAGACAGTGGAGAGTAAAAGAGACAGAGTAATGCACTCAAGAGAGAATGCGGGCTTCTTCAGGGGCAGAGAGAGCCCCTACACACACCCCAGTGTTAGACAGGAAAGCATGAAAGTACACATCTCAAGAGGGGAGATGCGGGCAACACGTGTTCAGTCAGTGGGCGCAAGCACCACATGGACTCGGGCAGCATATGCGTCCCTCCCCATCATTAAAGCACCCCAGGCAGACTGTCCACCCTGGGAAAGACTGTCATAGTGTTGCTTTGCAGAGACACTGAGTCATTGTGGAGTTCATCAGTCACTCCTTCAGGGAGAAAAGATTTCATACCACATGAAAGGATTTCTCCAAGAAGGAACAGGTTGCCTTCTGTTACCTCTTAACAGAAAAATCTTTAGGGAAATGGTAGAATATTTACAAAATGATGCATAGATCATCAATGCGTGCAATTAGCAGTGAATAATTAGAGTATTTATTGACCCCAATTTATAATGCACTTTCAAAACCACAAAATCCAGGGACTTGAGTGGGTCCCATGCTTGTCTTGCCTTGCACATTATCCAGTCAGAATCTGACGCACAGCACCCCACATGATCCAGCAGGAGTAAGCATTGTGTGTCACCATATGTGGCAAAAAAAAAACCCAAAACAACCAAATACACAAATTTCAAAACAATCACATAATTCAAATACTGGCATGTGTTGGTGTCAAGAAGATAGGTGACAGGTTCTAATCTGGAATAAAACCTAAATAAGGATATAACCATGAGAAAGTTGAATATCATTTGAACTTTAACTTTCTAAAAAAAGGAAAATTTCTTATTGGTTATATTGTGATTAATAGCACCGTAGCACTGTACTCACGTTGTTCATCGATTTGCTCAAGCAAACACCAGTGACGTCTCCATTTTGAGACTTGATACTGTTTTTGATATATCAAAGTGCCACAGGGAGCTTGCCAGGCTCTGCCATGAGGGCGGGCTACTCTCAGTAGCTTGCCGGGCTCTCTGAGAGGGGCAGAGAAATCAAACCTGGGTCGGCCACATGCAACGCAAATGCCCTACCCACTGTGCTATAATAAAGTATACCAATTTCCAGCTTCGAAATAACTCCCAACAGTAAAATATATACTCTGGCTTATTCCTGAGATGATATAAATAAGCATGCCAGTTCAAAATATTGCTATGGTTTTTCTGGAGAAAGACATACATGGTATTAAAAATAAACTGAACTTTTATCAGACCAGAATCCATTAAGTTCATTGAAGAAAAAGTTGGCAAAATCCTCCATGATATTGAAGTTAATGGTGTCTTCAAAGATGTCACACCACTGGCCAAGCAAGTGAAAAAAAGATAGGCAAATGGGACTATCTTAAACTAAGAAGCTTCTGCACCTCAAAAGAAACAGTGACCAAAATACAAAGACAATTTACAGAATGGGAAAGGATATTCGCTGAATACACGTCCGACAAGGGGTTGATATCAAGGATATACAAGGTATTGGTTGAACTCCACAAGAAGAAAACATCCAACCCCATCAAAAAATGGGGCAACAAAATGAACAGAAACTTTTGCAAAGAAGAAATCCGAATGGCCAAAAGGCACATGAGAAAATACTCTACATCATTAATCATCAGGGAGATGCAGATCAAAACAACAATGAGATACCATCTCACACCTCAGAGACTGGCCCATATCCACAAGAAAAAAAGCAACCGATGCTGGCGCAGATGTGGCGAGAAAGGGACCCTCCTTCACTGCTGGTGGGAATGCCGACTGGTTCAACCCTTTTGGAAAACATTATGAACGATTCTCAAAAAATTAGAAATTGAGCTCCCATTTAACCCAGCAATACCACTCCTGGGAATATATCCCAAAGAGGAAAAAAAGTATAGTCGAAGTGACATCTGCACTTGTTTGTTCATTGCAGCACTCTTTACAATAACCAGAATCTGGAAAAAACGTGAGTGTCCGAGAACAGATGACTGGTTAAAGAAACTTTGGTACATTTACACAATGGAGTACTATGTAGCTGTTAGAAAAGATGAAGTCATGAAATTTACATCCAAGTGATACTACATGGAAAGTATCATGTTAAGCGAAATGAGTCAGAAAGAGCGGGATAGACACAGAAAGATTGCATTCATCTGGGGAACATAAAGTAACAAAATAGGAGACTAACACCCAAGAGTGACTGAGATTAGTACCAGGAATTTTGCTCCATGGCTTGGAGGCCAGCCACACATGCTATGGGAAAAGGGAGGTAAGCTATAGAAGGGAGCACCAAATAAAGGGTGTTGGGAGGATCCTCCCAGGATGGGAGAAGCACGCTGAAAGGAGACTATAGACCAAACATGATTGCCACTCAATGCCTCTCCTGCAAACCACAGCAACCAAAAGGAGAGAGAGAGAGAACAAAAGGGAATGCCTGGCCACAGAGGAAAGGTGGGATGGCCGGGATGGGGGATGGGAGGGATACTGAGACCTGTGGTGGTGGAAAATGGGCCCTAGTGGAGGGATAGGTACTTGATCATTGTATAACTGAAACCCAAGCACAAAAATTTGTAAGTCTATAACTGTACCTCATGGTGTTTAACTAATAAAAAAAGATAAAAATAAATAAACTGATATTTTAACATTCATATTTATTAGGATGCTAAAATGATGGGGGGGGCAGAAGCAGCCTACTTTGTGGCTAGAGGTGCTTTATATTGCTTGCTTAAAGAAGGAGTATTTCTGAGGTATTGCAGGGTGGGGAGAGGAGCTTATTGAGTAATTTTTCCCCCTGGAGTTTGAGTGGTATGGGCTAGAGAGACAGTACAGTAGGTAAGGATACCTGCCTTGCATGCAGACAACCTGGGATTGATCCCCAGTACCATAGTTGGTGCCTTGAGCCCACTACTTTTTCTGAACTTGAAACTAAGTATAAAAAGTTTATATACATAAATTTTAAAAAGACAAAATAATATACACCGATGTCTGGTTTACAGAAAAAAATAGTCCTATTCTCTTGCCCTTATAAAATATAAACTCAGAAAAACTGACAATTTTTTGTACAGGAAGAGGGAAGTGGCCGGCTGACTGCAAGGGGCCCTGGTTGGTGAGAATTCTACAGAGGGAGAGACTGAACATCCCTGTTCTCCCCATGCTCTACTGCTTCTTATATTATTTCTCCATTTTGCAGATTAGGCAAACAGAACAAGTGAGGCTATTCACAAAGCTCGTAAGCCAAAGAAATTAGACTTGCATCCAAGCCTGCCTGAATTCAAACCCACACAACCACATATTTTCCACATTGCCTGGCAAAAAAAAAAATCACATAATGGGAATAGAATCCAAATTTTAAAAAGGAAGAAAGAACAAAAAACATGGCACAACATATTAAGTTTCTGGAAAATGTTTAAATCAAATGGACAGTGGATGGTTAGAAAAGCATCATTTCTGCAAACTTTGCAAAGATACTAGTAGTAG